CAACTAGAGACTCTTGAATGTTGGTGGGGAGACTTACAGAGCTCCTTATCACCGTGTTTACATAACGTGATCACTCCAGCTGAACCAACATTCCTTCACTGTGAGGTGTTGAAGATGAATTGGTTCTATAGCTCAAGACTACATGGGAAGATAAGAAAAAACAACCAACCAACCAAACTAAACAAAGTAGCAAACCCAAACTCAATGGATCTGAAAAATGAGTCAGCACCAGGAGAAAGTCTGAAAACAGCCAAGAGCTTCTCTGCTCCCCACTCCATCTGTCTCAGTCTAATTTACAGACTCAGTGACTGCCCACACAGTCTCCTTGAGTAAGTGTGCCCAGACAACCTGTCACATATCACACGTAACACACACCACACACGTGCTCTATAGATTTGTTTCATGCAACATGGAGGAGACCTTGTCTGATGCTTTTCTTCCAGGGACTCACCATTCATCCTGAATGCAAACATGCAAACCATGTTGAGCAGTCTTTCCTCCTTCCCAGATAAAATCATTAAAAGCCAACCTCTGCAGTGACAACTTCATTTTTTTTTTTGCAGGTCTATCATTTATCGAACCCAGCAAAGCTCTGAGTTACATGCAGGGACTAATTTTGTCATGGGACATCTCCAGGTAGAGACCCTGAACACCACAGATCGATTTAACAGTGCAACAGCAGCAGTAACAAAAAACGTCCACAATGAATTGAGAGCAACTTTAAAGACTTTCGGTCTACAAGGTGAGTTCTCACAAAGAAGTTCTGCAGACCACAGCTTGCAATAGCCTGAAATACCACGACCCTGAATGACCTCGCAATTGTTGCATGAAAGCTGCTGTAGCTACTTGGATCTGGAATCCAGGCCTTAACAAGGATCGCTGCCCATCTGTGCTTATTTGGAGGCAGTTTGCTTAGCGCAGTTGTGACCAAAACTTAAATTACAGCAGACGAAACACAATCTTCTAGCATAAAATAACATGTATCAGCCTTCAGTTTCCAGAGCAAAGAAAAAAAAAAGAAGGCTTCTTTTCACATGAAAACTAAGACTGTCATTCAAATATCTTATCTACATGCAACACATTCTGGAAATTTTATCCCAATTTGATAATCCAGACTTGAGATTCAACACAGTTCAAAGAGTGGAGATACTTACAAATTAATTAAATCTATGCCTCTTGGGGATGTGGCAAGCAGTGTTCTCCTATCCATGCATGCAGAGTCTATATTTTCATACCAGCACGAAGTCTGTCTTATGGAAATAATGGCACTAGGGGATGGGGTGAGGGGTGGGTAGAAGGGTTTATCCTTCCCCTAAGATGAAGTTACAAAGTGCAGTACAGAATTGATGTGGTTCTACATGTCGTATCAATTTTATTTTATATCCCAGCTTATTGGGGATATGATTTTATCAATTTTAGATAGGACTTTTAAATTGTGAATTTCAGGGTAACCATTATGCACAGCAGTCTTCAGCATCCCCAAAAGGTAGTACTTTCAACCCTAGACAGGTGGTTTTGTTTGTTTGTTTGTTGTTTATTTTTTTGGTCTAGAGGTATTACAACTTTTGTTTGCAGAACGGCTGGAGGGAATCCATTTGTTGAGGCTCTCTGGAGATGACACCTTCTAAAAATCAAAGTACTAGCAGGTGCAGTTTGCAAATAGATTTGCTCATGGACATTTGGAAGGAATTTGCTCTTTAAAATCAGATTTTTCTTCTAATTTGCTTCTAATAAATATACTAATAAATAGCCACTCTTCAACAACACATAGAAATATGATCTTTTGAAAAGTTGAACTTTAAGAAGTAATTTAGTCCCTACTACAGACAACAGATAAGAATTCTTCTTATCACCTATTAGGGAAGAGCTGTGACTGCTCCTTGGACAGCATCCATTCCCTGGTATCCCCCTTTCTATAGCAGGCAAGGAACTTCAAGTTATTCATACAAACGAAGAGCATTTTATCCAATGAGGGAAAGTCCTCCTTGCTTTTTTTCTCAATTATGTCTTATTTTATTAGCGTGTCTTCTTGCCACGTTAGACAAAGATAAAAGTGAAGAGAGAGTCTATAGACAAGTCTCAATAGTTTAATTCTGAAATGTTAAAATTGTGCACCTAAGAAACATACATATTTCACGCAAGCAAACATGCTCATCTTCTTTTAAAAGTACTGCTGAACCACTCTAAGCCCCAGGCATCAATGAAGGGGTTGAAAGCATTGCCATTCATGAGGCCCACACTGTGGCATACTGGGTTAAGCCACATAGTCTGCAGTGCCGGCATCCCATATAGGCACTGGTTCAAGTCCCAGCTGCTCCACTTCCAATCTAGCTCCCTGTAATGCACCTGGGAAAGCAGTGGAAGATGGCCCTTGTGCTTGGGCCCCTGCACCCATGTGGGAGCCTTGGAAGAAGCTCCTGGCTCCTGGCTTTGGCTATCTAGGGAGTGGACCAGCAGACGAAAGACTTCTCTATTTCTCTGTAACTCTGCCTTTCAAATAAATAAATAAAAAAAAGTGATAGGAGATGCCAACCCTGGCAGTACAGTGGCAGGGTGGGGTCAGGGGGAGTCAGGAAAAGGTTAGGGAGAAGGAGATGGAATGGTGTGAAAGGAGAGAAAACAGGGTTTGCAAAGGCATGGGGACAGGAGCAGAGTGGGCTTGGGGAACAAGGAGTAGGAAGGTTGGTCTAGAACATGGGTGTGGGGAGGGATGAAACTGGAGAAGTCTGTGGTGGGGCAGCTCAAGGATGGGCTCAGATGGCATGCTAAGGAGTCCAGGTTTTATCTCATTATAATTGTAACTTAATTAAGTATGAAGGAGTCCAGATTTTATCTTATAATAGTAATAATAGGAACTTATATTAAGCCTTTGCTCTTGATGTGAGCAGAATTCGTCTCATCCTCACAATGACTCTACACAGTAAGCACTCTTATTGTGTTCATTTTGCAGACAAGGAAACTGGGGCACAGAGAGACTGCAGAACTTGACTGAGCTCACACAGATCAGAAGGAATGAATCCGGAAATCAAACCGAGGTTGTCATCTTCATGACTGTTGGGTTATGCGCCCACCTCTTGGGTTAGGGACTTTGTTCAGCAGAGGACTGACCCAGGAGGTTTTCTTTTAGAAAGAACATCTGGAGGCCAGGTGCCAGGTTACAGCGGAGCACAGGTGAGGACAAGTGGTAGAGAAAGGATGCTGTGTGATCAGGACAAAAAAAATGCAAGCCAGAGGTGATGGCTGTCTTGGCTTAGAAAATTCAGGAAGAAACCCTGGCACCCTCCCAGGCTTAGCAGTGGCTTGGGCCAGAAGGATCTAGTATACTTGACATTTGTAGGGTGTTGTTTTCCTTAGCACTTCCGTCTGCCCTATACAGCATAATTATTTTTACTGAAGCCTTGTATGCAATCATGTTAGCAAGACAAATGAAAGATAACAGAAATGTTTTTGTACAAGCAAGGGAAACAAGAACCATGGACTTACAGTTTTAAGTGACATTAGTATATTGTTGGAAAAGGGGAGGTGAAAAAAAATAGTCTTCCTATACAGCAGTCCAAAGCAGTCACCAGCGATAGCCACGTGTGCTCCGGGAGCCCACAGATGTTCAAGGAAGAAGCACCTTTCAACATCTATCAGGTGGCACAGGAGTGTGGTAGCAGTTGTTCTGGGCTCCGTGCTGAAGGATGGGTAGGAGTTAACCAGCACAACTGGGGATGAGGCCCAAGGAGGGCATTCCGGGGAAAGGGAAAGGCACGGGGTTGGGGGGAAGCCTGGAAGTGCCACACACTGGAAGTCATTTGGTTGGGCAGGACCGGAAGTCCAGAGGGGAGAGAGACCAGCAGTCTACGGCAGAGAGACAATGGTGTCCAGAGCAAAGGATGAGGGTTTTTGCACACAGTAGCGGGTTTTTGCACACTTCAGGGACTCTCCCCTTGGGAAGACAGGAGGCATGGAGAGGGGAGAGGCACACTGGCTGGGGGTGGTGACAGGAGAGGCAGAGAGACCAGGGCAGAGGACATGGGACTCTGAATGCCAACAGTAGCACTTTAGGGATGGAAATTAGTGTGAAGACAGGTGTGAAGGCGTGGACACAGAGCCCGGGTCTCAGCCCTCATGACCCCCTGGTTTATTTTTTGTGAATGTACTACAGTAGCCAGCAGATGTGGCCCAGGTACAGTGGCGACACTCACTGGTGTTCTGCACGGGCCCTACTGAGACAAGGTGTGTGCCTTACAATGGTTGCTTGGAAAACGACCCTCAGGGAGAGGCGGTCCTAAGCCCCCGGTTTGCTGGGCTGACGGCGTGCAGAGACGTGTTGACAGTGTGCCTTCACTCTGAGCGGGCTGATTTTGATGCTGCATTTGCAGCGGCCCCATCTGTGGGTCACCTCCCTGCAACAGACCCTGAGGGCTCCCCCTGCTGTTTACGGAGGGTGGCAAGGATGGGAGGACATCACAGTCTCCCACTCCCCAACAAGCGGGGCAGCCAGGGCAAACCTCTGAGTTTGCAGGGTGCTCACCTGTTAAACCGGAGGCCTCTCAGAAACAGCCGAGTGTCTCAGAAGCAAGTGGTCTCTCCCAGCTCTAAGTAACCACCAAAGGACCCACTTTCTGCACGCCAGTAACACATAGCAGCTCCCAGGCACCAAAATCCCAGGCTGAACTCAGATCGGGGGCTAAGCACACCTCCTTCCCCTCACTCCTGCCCTTCCCCTGGGCTGTGACCACCCTTGCAGGCTCTTTGCACACAAAAGGCTCTTAAAATCGGGGCCTATACCATCACTCACACACACACACACACACACTTTTTTTTCCCCTCCTGGGTAAGACACCAGTTAAACTCATCGCTCCCACCTCCAACTCATGGCCCACCCACTTCCTAGGAGGCTGGGAACTGTGGTAGATGCTGCTCCAACAGGGTCCAGCTTGTCCCCAAGGGTGGGCGGGCACCGTGAGGCTTGGCTGTCTGTTATTGTTATTATTTTTAATTTTTTTTTTTACCTTGACTCCCTCTTCCCAGCCCTTCTTGGGCGCGGGGACGCGTCTCTCGCCTCCTGCAGGCTGCGAGGGTCGGCAGCCCATGCCGCACCCGCGCGCTCCACCGCCACCACCAGCACCGTGAGCCACCCGCGAGCGCTGCCCGCCACGCCCCTGCCCCTGCCCCTGCCCCGGCCCCGGCCCCGGCCCGGGCCCCGGCCCCGGCCCCGGCCCACGCGCACGGGCGCCGTCTGCAAGCACTCGGCAGGAGGCGCTCAGCTTCTGGGAAGTTGCCGGGAACGGTTGCCATAATAAAGGGCGTCACGCGGACCCGGGGCCCAGAGCGACGGAAGGGAGGGAGGGCCGACCGCAAACTACGGCAGGCAGTCAGAAGCATTGTGCAGGGACCTCTCGGTCCCTTGGAAAGGCACCGAGGGACCCGCCCCCACCCGGATGCCTGGGCTGGGTCAAGCGCGCAACGATGGGGACCGTGGTGAGGGCGATTGCGTGTGGAGGGCGCCGCACCTGTCCCGCAGGTGGACACCGCGCAGGAGGGCGGGCAGCAACTGGCAGCCCCTCAGAAGGGGCGGTCAGGCAAGCAAACCCACTCCCGCAAGAGCAGGCAGGACCGAACACAGCTTGGCAGCCGCCAGATGAGTCATGTAAATCATTTTTATGGCAAGTGCATTTTATGAGCTGTTATGATGTCAGGAAAGATCGTGGCTATGCATGTTTCTCTCCAAGAGTTAAGTCCATCAAAAAAGGCTGCTCCAACGAACAATTTTGTCTTGGATTTTTTTCCTATTTTCAAATTTTGAGAATTTTAATTTATTATTCTTTTTAAAAAGATTTATTTACTTATTTCAAAGGCAGTTACAGAGAGAGGGAGAGACAGAAAGAGAGAGATCATCCATCCCTGGTTCCCTCCCCAGTGGCCACGACAGCAGGAGCTGGGCCAGGCTGAAGCCAGGAGCCTGGAACTCCATCCGAGTCTTCCACGTGGGTGGCAGGATTCCAAGTAATCTGGCAATCTTGTGCTGCTTTCCAAGGCACATTAGCAGGGAGCAAACAGCTGGACGGGGGCCTTGAACCAGCGCTCATACGGTATGCTGGCGTCACAGGCCACGTCTTAATCCACTGTGCCATGAACCTGGCCCCATTTTTGAGAATTTTAAAAGGAGCTGAAAGGGACCTTAGGGCTCTTCTGTCCACCCTGCCTTTTCCAGGCTGCAAAGTTAGTCTGGGAGAAGCTGAGTGAATTTTCCCAGATCGCAGGGGAGCTGGTTAATGAGGGCGCTGGGAAGAAGAACCAGGTGGCCTGACTCAGTCCCACCCTGTGTAGCCAAATCCCAGGAAAACACAAGGAAAGCTTCTTGGAAATGTAAAAGTCCTGGATCCGTCCGAGGAAAATCACAGTCAGCAGTGTCATGGGATGCTGCTTATTTCCTTTAGAGCATTTCAACGCATTTCCCCCTGTCTCCCTCGTAGGCTGGGACGGTGTCGCTCGTCAGTTTTCCCTGTACTGACATTGAGGATGGGGAAGGAAGGTGAGAGGACAAAGCTCTGTAGTTTCCGAGCCACACGCATTAAAGGTTTGCAAACAGAGAGCTGAAAAGAGACTGCAATGCGGTCCAGGACACTGTCTCCGGAACTATGAGCTCCTGGCTGAAATAAGTCCGTGTGAAATGACTGGAGACCAGAACATACTCAATTAGAATAACCTGATACCAAGGGCACCTGTAAAATGTTCCTGAGAAAGTTTCATGGATGTTTGTAGAACTAGAAGAGTGAAACCCTGGACACAACTCTTTTTTTTTTTTTTTAAGGCAATCTGTAAACAGAGGTTTGCCGTGAATGAACAGGGCTGGGTACCCGAATGTGTTGTGCAGATGTCTTTTGGAGCATCCCATGGCTACAGTCCAGAGTGGTGAGGGGTATGCGAAGGACCAGCGAGGCTAGGCTCATGTGAGTTGCTTCTCAGGAGTAGCTTAACCCAGCCATTACTAAAATTAATTAAACAAGCTCTATAAGCTTCTGATTAATTAATTATGTTAAAAGCAGAAGTGGGGGCGGGTCTTTTTAAGACACCTTTTCAATGAAACTTGATGAAGGGTGGAATGGGAGAGGGAAAGGGAGAGGGGAGGGCCTCGGGAAGGAGGGAGGTTGGGGTGGGGGAAGCCACAACAATACAAAAATTGCACTTTGTAAATGAACATTTATTAAATAAAAAAATAAAGACACCTGTTCAGATGCCCAGGTCTCATACGCGAATGCCTGTGTTTGAGTCCTGGTTACACTCTCAACTCATTTCCTGCTAATGAGGATCCTAGCAAGCAGCAGGTGGTAGCTCAAGTGGTTGGGTCCTTGCTGCTCACGTGGGAGACCTGTGAGTCCCTGGCTCCCAGCATTGGGAAGTGGACCAGCAGATGGAGTGTTCTCTCCGGTTGTCTCTCCAATAAGAAAAAAAACCTTAAAGTAACTAATGCCACCACATTTTTTTGGTAGTAAGGGTATAGAACATGTCTGAATGTTAAATCATTGCTTCAAAAGGCAGAAAGTAAAAGGCAAACAGGAAGGAAGGAGAAAAAAGGGAGGGGGGAAGAAGTGAGATGAGATCTGCTAGATAATCGCAGGGGAGGAAGAGACACTGCCTCACCTTAGCAAGGCACAGTATTTCCAATCTCAGAAGACCTCTGTGTGTAGAATGACGAGCAGGAGCTGGTGTTGCATCAGCTTCCCGTGGCTCTTCTCAGAGAAGGGGTCATTGTCAGTTACTGAATCGGGGTGAAGGAGCAAAGAAAAACCTTCCTTGCCCCCAACCAACAGCTCCGGAGTCAGTTTTCCTGCCGCCCCCCTGTGCTGGGAGGTTACCCTGGGAGTAACCCACAGGGCAGAGGCGGCCCCTGCGGCACGCAGGGGGTTAATGTGTCAGGGCAGGGGCGGCCACGTACAGCTTAGGGATCCCAAATCCCATCCTGAAAGCCTTCCAACTTCACTTCAGACTCTGAGCTTTTTATTTTATTTGCTTTTTAAAGATTTATTTATGGGGCCAGTGCCATGGTGTAGTGAGTAAAGCTACCATCTGCAGTGCCGGCATCCCATATAGGTGTTGGTTCAAGTCCCAGCTGTTCCACTTCCAATCCAGCTCTCTGCTATGGCTTGGGAAAGCAGTAGAAGATGGCCCAAGTGCTTGGGCCCCTGCACCCATGTGGGAGACCCAGAAGAAGCTCCTGGCTGCTGGATCAGATCGATGCAGCTCCGGTCATTGCAGCCATCTGGGGGAGTGAACCAGCGGATGGAAGACCTCTCTCTCCGTCTCTGCCACGATGGCTCAGTTCTGTAGGAAATGGAAAGTCATGCAAAGAAATCAATTCTGATCCCAAATTCACAGTTTCCTAGCATTCTTCCTATGAATAGAACAATTCTGTGCTGACTTTCAATCTTACACAAGTCCCAGCTGACTGATGCTGACCGTGATACTAGTATTTTGAGTGAGTGCTGAGAATTAGGTAAAGGAGAGAAGCTGATGCTTATGTTGGTATTTCTGTTTTCTCATTGACTTTTGGTTTAACAGCAAGGCTCAGAGAAATAGGACTCACAGGCCAAGTCGGGCTCACTGAGCTAGGACTAGATTTTATATTTTTAATTTGTTGAAAAGCAATCAGAAGAATATTATCTTGTGACTTGTAAGTAAAGTTGTATTGGAACAAGGAGACTCCTCTTTGCTTATATCTTACCTGTGCCTGATTTTTTGTTGGGACGGCAGAGCTGAGTTGTGGTGACAGAGATCAGATGGCCTCCAAAGTCTAAAATATTTATTATTCAGCCTTTTACAGAAAACATTTGCTGATCCCTGATTTTCAATGGTGAAGTAATTCCCACAAGGATATTAAATAGCTACGCAGAACCCTAATGGAATGAAAGAGTTTGTGCTGCTTCCAGAAGGGGGAAAAAAAAGAAAGGAAGAAAGAAAGAAAAAGAAAAAAGAAAAAAACAAAAAACCAAACCAAAACAAAACAAAAAACCTCCCACAGCTTAGCTGCCACACAGGGGGAATTTATCTCATTAAGAAGCAGGACTCCCAGGCCTGTGAAACATTTTAAGTGGCTTCATTCAGCTGATAAAACTCTCCCCATGCTTTGCTGGGACACCCTGTTGGATAAGAGGACTGCAGTGCGCACAACAAAAGCTCACTGAGCCGCTCTGCTGTTTTGCATCTGAGACGGAGTTCAGAGCACTGTAGTTTCAGGAAAAAGAAAAAAGAGAGTCCCAGATTGGAAGAAGCAGGTGGCGTTTGAAGTACCATCTTGAATCCAAAGACTTCATTTTCAAACCCCACGTTGTTCTGAGTTCTTCACGTCCCTTTGTCAGGCGTTTCAACCCAAACATTGTATTTCTGGAAAACAGTCCGCTCCCTCACGTGCACACAAACACCGTCTTGCTCACATATGAGGGGCTTTGGAAGTTTCTATCTCGGGAGCCCACGGGGACAGGTTGCCTCAGTAACTGTACCAAGAGCATTTAGAAAGCTCAGGAATCTGTCTGTGGACCGTTCTGTGATCAAACTACTGTTACAAAAGGAAAATTATAGCAGAATATTGTCATTAAAACACACAGAGCAATGAATTCATGGAGTTGTCCCAGAAAGCAGAGTGCAAGCTTATTTTAGGCATCCCTCGGAGGGACGTGATGTGACAGCTTCTTGCCGGGGGAACAACCAGAAATAAATAAGCCCCCAAACAAGGGAGCAATTGTTTGCTGCACCTTGGCCTGAAGCCAGCAGTCTTAATGTTTGCTCATTCAACACAAACTGGGTAAATACGGAGAGAAAACACCAATCTTTATCACTCAGAGCGTGACAGCTGAACAGTAAATTTAGCTGTAATAATCTCACAGAATTATAACACTTCCATTTACATCTGCTCTCAAGAATCAGTTCCGATCTGTGCTTAGATATTGTAGAGGTCTAATATGGGGCTGAGAGCTTGCTGGGGTTGTGCAAAAAGAAGAACAATACTTGCTGAATGGGAGTTGGAAAGGCAAACTTGAGTTTCGGAAAGTGAGAACAACTCTCAGGGTTACAAATGACAATTTTCACACACTGATATTCTCACAATTAAAGAAAAGTAATATTTACATGATTTTCACTGCTTCCAATTTTGGCAGTACGTGGGCACAAAGCACTGAGACTTTTCGAATTAGTGGTGTGATTTCTTTTCCCCGAGCTGGCCTTGAACATATTGTTTGGCGCTCCAGGGG